CTCAGAAAACTTCTCAGTGTATGTCTGTATTTTTATTCATGCATTCATTTCATTCATTCTCTTATTCCCAATGATAGACAAAGATGCTTAAACTCCTTCAACAAAATATATTTTCTTACATGGCAAAAATTGTCTGCCTACAATTATCAGTACAGTTCTTTTTAGTCCTATGTTTTAGTGATATTAATAGATTCATCAAATGAATGTTTTATGAACATCTCTTAGTAAACCTGTTTAGACCATAACAATTTTATTTCTCAAGCTGATTTTAATTCTATCCATGGTACTGGCATGGTACAATTATAGCATGGAGTTAATGGAGCCATTAGTTTTCTATTGCAAGAGTTCTTTTCCTTTCCTTCCCTCCCTTCTTATCCCCATTCTGTAATTGTCCCATTACTCTGATGTTCTTTTCCTTTGCTCAGCAAAAGCTTTTTAGTTTGATATAATTCTTTTTTTTCTATTTTTGCTTCTTTTCGTGTGCTTTTAGTATGCTTCCTCACAAATCATTTTCCATTACAATGTTCTGAAGTACTTTCCCTGTTTTCTTCTAGTAGTTTCATAGATTAGGTCTTATATTTCAATAACTAAGCCACTTTGGGTTAATTTTTATAATTGCATGTGGATAGCCAATTTTTCCTGCATTCTTTATTAAAAAAGCATGTTCTGAGCTCTTTTGTTGAAAATAAGTTGATGTTTTGATTAATATAGCTTTGTAGTATATTTAAGGATTTAAAGTCAGATACTTTAATGACCTGATGCTTCCTGCTTCACCCTTAAGAGGGCGTTAGCTATTCTGATCTGTGTGTGTGTGTGTGGGGTATATTTCATATAAATTTTAGCTCCCCCCCTAGTTTTGTTAAGAATATCATTTAGTTTCTTGATAGAAATTGAATCAAATCTATGGATTGCTTTGGGTGGTATGGACATTTAAAAATAGTAATTCTTTCAATCCATGGACACAGGATGTCTTTTCATTTTAGTGAGTCTTTTTCTACTTTTTTCATGAGTGTTTTATAATTTTCATTGTAGAGATTTTTCATCTCTAGTTAAATTTATGCCTAGGTGTTTTATTTTATTTGTAGCTATTATATATGTGATTGTTCTCTTGATTTTATTTCAGGTAATTCACTACTAGCATGGAACAACCCTACTGATATTTGTATATTGATTTTATATCCTGCAACTTTACTGGAATTTTTTATTAGTTCTCCTAGTTTCTTGGGTAGAGTGTTTGGGGTTTTCTATGTATAAAATCATGTCATCTGCAAATAGTACAATTGACTTCCTCTTTTTCATTTGAATGAATGTTCTTTCTTTTTCTTGCCTGGTTGTTCTGGCTAGGGGTTCCAGTACTATGTGAATAAAAGTAGTAGAAATGGCATCTTTGTCTTATTTTAGGTCACAAAGCAAATCTTAGCAAATACAAAGAGAGAGAGAGAGAGAGAGAGAGAGAGAGAGAGAGAGAGAGATAATACCTTGCCTTCTAATCATATCATAATAATGAAATGAAATTAGAAATTAGAAATCAAGTTAGAAATCAGTGGTAATATAAAAAACAGAAACCACTCTAATACCTGGAGATTGAATAATACACTTTTGAATGATTAATGGATAGCAGAAGAAATCAGGCCATAAATTAAAAAAATTCTTAGAAGTAAATGAGAATAGTGATACAACATATCAAAATATCTGGGAGAACATGAAGGCAGTTATAAGAAGAATGTTCATATCATTGAGCTCATACACTAAAAAATAGAAAGATCCTAAATAAATAATCTAAACATCTCAAGACCCTAGAGAAGAATAAACCAACACCAAATCAGTAGAAAACAAGAACTAATTAAGATCAGAAATTAATGAAATTGAGAATAAAAAAAAAGATCATCTAAACAAAGAGTTGATTTTTTGAAAGGATTAACAAAATCGATAACCCATTAGCTAAACTAACCAAAAGAAAGAAAAATTGATAAAGCCTTAGCCAAACTAAAATGATTCTTTATAAGATCACCACCACATTGCCAAATCCAGAGTTCCATTCTCAGTCCTTTACTTACTTGAAGTATCAGGAGCATTTTACACAGTTAATTTCTACTTCCTCTTATTCTTCTCTATACCATACTCTTTATGTTCTTCTCCTTGAGGTTTAACCACTGTTTCATTCATTCATTCCTGCCTCTCATCTGTTTTCAAGGACTTCAGTCCTTGAATATATTCTTTGTTTTTTTCTGTACTCCTTTGTGATCTCATAGTCTCTATTCATACTATCCTTATATATTTAATTTTCATTTTTATGCTAGTTTCCTCAAAATGTATGTGTCTAGATTAGATCTCATTTCTGAATTTTAGACTTGTAAATTTAACAGCTTAACAACATACTTGGGTGTCTAATAGCCTTAATCTGCATGCCTGAGCTCCACCACACCTAACCTATTTCAGATGCTATCTCTCTCTTCCTAACTAATGCTAATTCTATCCTACAGTTACTCTGATCAAAATCTTAAAATCATCCCAGATTCCTGTCTTTCTTTCATTCCTCACATTAATTCTTTTTCTAAAAATCCAGAATTCATCCACTTCTTATTATTTCTATAGCTGCATTTTCATCTGCCTGGCTTACTTCAGAAAGTTTCCGGTTTCCCCACTTTCAACCTTGTCTTTAATCCATGTTTAGTGTGTTCTACCCACACTATACTTCTTGTTATATTTTGCAAGCAGAAACTTCCACATCAATGATTTTATTTTGATGTATCTTCTGTGTGGAATACATTTCTCTAAATATCTACACAATTAACTACTCTTAAGAGTAATGTTACTAGTAATATTACTAGTGGCCAATTCATTTCAAATTGCAACCTTGTCACATTTTACCTCCTGTACTCTGGATTTATTCCTCTTACTTGCTCATTTTTTTCCAGCCACATTTATTATCTTATAATGTGCTCTATGATATTTCAAATTTATTGTGTTTATTGTTTCCTCTGTGACAAATTATAGAATTTGTTCATCAGTATGTTTCACATGCATGAAAGATTGTAGTCATTCAGTAAATATTTTTTGAAAATGAATAAGTGAAAATTTATACAGAAAGAGAAGCATTATGCCCCATCTCCAGCTCACCCTCCACCAAGGGTCTTTTCATTTAGCTTTTAAAGTTTCTTAAAAGTGTCTATTGTTAAATATTTTGAATTTCTGCTAAATTTGGATAAAAAGAAAAGAGAATCTCTTTTGTATTATATTTTATATAATAATAGAATGCCTAAGCATATGGATTCTTCTGTTCTAATCCAGACATACTTAATTTCAGCATATTGAAATAACTTGTACAGTTGACCAATTTCTGTTGAGTTTTTAAAAGGGGAACCCAAATGGTTAAAGAGTACGGAAGTCAGATAAGTGTGGTTCTAATATTCAAAAACAGGAAGAAGGAAAATTATATTATTGGTAGTTTGGGCAATAAATCCTACATAAAGTGCTAGGACATAATAAAAGGTCAATGTGTGAATGTTTCCTGAAAGCAGCAGTGATTTCTTGGTCCCAGCATGGGTACTTAATGCGGATTCTTAGCAGACTAACCTGTATCTTCTTAACATGATTAAACTAAATACAGTATATCTGAATCCAACAAAGCATGTTTATCAAGTTTGTTAATAGTATGACATTGAAAGCAGAAGAAAGTACCTTGCAGTATAGAATCGAGATCCCCAAAGATCTTAGTAGACAGGAAGATATAATTATACAAAACATTCCAGGGTAGTTTACTTGGAAAATGCAATTCTTCCACTGCCTAAATGGAGAAATATGTGATTTTGAAAGTAACTCTGTAGAAATATTTTAGAAGGTTTTGTTAAATCTAGTATGAGTCTATTTGAAATGTACATGTCAGAAAAGCTTAAACATAGTTTGAATTTGCATCTACCAGAAGTTCTGTAAGTACCTCTTATAGTGTACAGTACTTAGAATATTAAATCCTGGACACAGTGCTTCATAAGGTTAGGCTGGAGCACATTCAAAAATGATGAGAATGGTAAAGCATCTCTAAAGCATATGAATTAGGGACATTAGAAGAAGCTAGGAATGTTTTACTTTAAGATGTCTCAAACAACAAGTAACAATATCATAATAGTTAAAAGATCATCTATTTGTAAAAGAGACTTAAATGTTGCATTCAATGTCAAAACTTCTAATATCCCTTGATTAATTTTTTCCTCTTTATCATATCTCTGTTAGCATACTAATATTTTATTTATTCCTCTTATTGGTTTCCCCCAGTCCTTACTGTGATAAAAGTTACATGAAGGAAGAGATTTTTGTTTTCTGCTTATTTGCTTATTGCTAAAAGAGTACCTGGCCCATAGTTAGTATCTGACAAGTATTTTATTGAATAATGAATAGCCATAAGGAATGAAATTGGAATTGACAAGTGAAAGCCTAAGAGATTAACATTTTATCACAGATAAATAAAAAATTTCTGTTAGAAAAACTAAACCAGCCAGGCATGTTGGCACACACCTGTAATCCCAGCAACAACTCAGAAAGCATAGGCAAGAGGATAGCAAGTTCAAGATGACCTTCAGCAATTTAGCAAGACCCTGAGCAACTTAGTGAGGTTCTCAAAAAATTTGTTTTAAAGGGCTGGGAATGTAACTTAATGATAAAGCACTCCTGGGTTCATTCCCCAGTGAACTTGCCCCACCCCCCCAGTTAAAAATTAAACCTTTTTGCTTGGCTCATTCTCTAAATCTGGAAATACTAAAGGATGTGTTTCCTCAATTAATATTTGTTAGAATGCTAAATATCTATTTTCTTCATGAGATCCTATAATTTTATAAAACATATTTAAACCAATTTTCCTGTTAAACAGTGAGAACCAGTAAATGCCCAAATGAAACAGCTTTATATATAATCTATTTATAATATTATTTGTTTTTAAAAGAAGCAAAGCACATATAACAGATATTTTTGGGTTTTATCTTCCGTATTACTCCATTTTAAAAAAGCAGTGATTCTGAAACACAGACCTCTCAAAATTTGGGAACAATTATTGTGGAAACATCGCAGAAAATAAGTCCTATAGAAGATGGAAGAGACCAGAAAGAAAGTGATCAAACAGAAGACATCCAAACACAAGGGAAGGAATTAGTACAAACAAATTCAAATATAGATGGCAAGACCCCAAAGGTATATGACACAATTTTCTTTAATATTCAATTTGTTCTTAATTTGATCTTATGCTTCATCAATAAGTTTTGCCAGTGATTAAATTTGAATCCTTAAAAATTTGTCTTCTTTGAAGTACACTATTCACTTCTGTATAACTATTTATAATATTTATATATAGTTATATATAACTATATAATCACTTTTGTATAATTTTCAATTTCCTAGTTTTTAATATCATAAATATATAATGGAAGTAAATACTATGAATAACTTGTAACTTATTTATATCTCAGCCAAAAAAATAGTAATAAACTCATTATTGTTTTAGATTGTGTGAAATATATACCAAGTAAAGAAATGTCTACTTTTATATTAGCCTTTGTAATTATAAGGTCATTTAATCTAACTGTTACACCTGCTGATTGACTGATGATTATAGAGATTACCAGTTTGCTATGTATTAATTGAAGATTTTCTTTAGTTTCAGCCATTGTGGGCAGCTTAATTAATTTATAAATGAAAATAACTCATAACATCATTCATATAGTAAGAATGTGTTAAGTTCTTGGATTAGATCTATGCATATTATTGGTAGTCAGAAAATAAATTGACTAAATTATAGCAAGTATTTGGAAAATATTAGATTCCCTCACTAGCCCTAAAATAATTAACTATACTTAATCACTTCCCTTCTTTTCTTTATAATTTTAATTCTGTTAAAGTTGAGGTTAATTTCCTGTTTTTCAACTTTATGAAATCTAAATCGTCTTTCTTTCCTTCAGTATTTTGCAGTGTTAGTTCATTTTCATTGCTGTGGATAGTATTTCATTGTTCAAAGATACAACAGTTTATCCATTCTACTGTTAAAATTAGGTTTTTGTTAAGGAATTTACTCCTAATTTATCTTTCTTATTAAAAATAAATAATTTTATTCATGCACTCCATAATTGAAATGTGAATTATAGAATTTTATTGTCTAGAACTCATATATATTTTTAAGTAAAGAGACATTGTACTTATTATGTTGGTTCATTTGACATTTTTATTGAATAATAACCCATTTTTTCTGAAACTTTCAAATTTAGGATATTTTTCATTATAATAATACAAAAAAAACAGCATTTCAGAAGAATGGTAATATGCCAAAAAGTTTACATACAGTAGTTCCTACCAGAGGTAAGAATACATGTGAAATTAACAGTATATCTTTTAAAATTTAATACAATTTTAAAGTATTATCAACAACATTATTTTTAATAGTTAACAGAGAAAAGTACAAAAATGTAACTGCCCAGAAATCAAGTACCAACATTATTTTATTACGAGAACGAATTATATCTCTGCGACAACAAAACAGTGTACTTAAGAATGCCAAAAAAACAGCAGAATTATCTGTTAAAGAATATAAAGAAGTTAATGAAAAGCTCCTCCATCAACAGCAGATATCTGATCAGCGATTTCAAACAAGCAAACAAACAATAAAGGTAAAGAGAACTTTAAGGTTGAACTATAACAGATGATTACAAAAAATGGTATTTTGTTTTACATGTTATTCATATTAGTGTTAGGCATGTGTCTGAGTTAAAAAAAAACAGGTAGTAATCTAGAGTAGTTCATTACTATTATATATATATAGTATAATTACTAGACCTCTTTAGTAAGGTCCATATTAAGGGATTAACTACAAGAGGGAGGGAACTCCAAATCACAAAGTCTCTTAACTAGCATTTCTTTCCTGCTTAGGTTCTTTTTCCTTCTTTTAAACTTTTTAAAATATTTTCTATTATGTTATTACTTAGTTTTGAAAAGCAGTCTTCATAAATGCATTTAGCTTACCCTTTTACTCATGCCTAAAATTTTGATTTATGATTATAAATTAGATTATTAAGCTTGTATATTCTTCAGTCACTCTTGCAAATACTAGTATAAAATGTGAAGGCTTTAATGTAATTATATATCTTAATGTGTCCAATAACCTGTCTGTGTTTCTTTTACTCAGGTGAAATTTTTTTTGGCTTAATTTTTAGGCACATTACACCTTTATCCTAATTATCATAAATTATTCTTTATGCAAGTAAAAAAGAAAAGACTGTTCCTTGGTTCTACATTCTTAAAGATACTTACTTATATGTGAAATGATTTGTTGGAAATTTGTTATTTTACACAGAAAATATCATTTTATCATATTAAAAAGTAATTTTAAATAACAATCACATAATTTAAAATTCTAGTTAAATTTTCTAATATCTAGTGCTTTGATTCAAACAATACTTACACATTTTTTAATTATAAATGACTACTGTTACACTAGAAGTACTAATTAGAATTACATTGTGACTTCATTTCCAGGGTAGCCTTATACCCACACTTTACCTGTATTCCAAAATTACATTGAAAGTTTGAGGACTTCACAGGTTTGGCCCTTGGAAATTCTCAAGTGGGACATCAGATATAAATGAGCTCTGTGTTAAAAATTTAGAGACATTCACTGGTACTACAAACAATGGTGTTGGGAAACAGTTCCCAAAATGATTTGATGAACCTGTATTTATTTTACCTGGTGATTTTTTTTTCTTTTTTTTTCTTTCTCTCCTTAGTTTATTTTTCTTCATTTCTTTTGCTTCCTTTCTTTTTTTTTCCTGCCCTTCCTTATTACTTCCTTTCCTAGTTAAATGATATTTTGTTTCCTATCTCACCATGGTAGAAAAAATATGTATTTCTAAGTTTGTGTGTGTGTGTGTGTAAATAGCTTAGTGACATGAAAGTATTGTTTTTAAAAAAAGAAATAAAAACAATTTTTAAGTCCAGTTAGTCTTTAATGTACAGTTGAGAATACGACACAGACCATCATGTCATGATTAATGAAAAGTCATTTCCAGTGAGAGTAGGATGGAACAAAACTCAACAGACCATTCCAGGAAAGAAAAACAAACCTATCTTCTCCACTTCATTATAGTCATGCATAACATAACATTTTGGTCAATGACAAAAAAAATCTATAACAGTAGTCCCCCAAAATTATATTTCCTAGTGATATTATAGCCATCTTAGTTGTTTAAGTACACACTGTGATATTCACACAATGAAAAAATCACCTAACAGTGTGTTCTCAGAATATATCTCCATTGTTGAGCAACATATGACAGTACATCAAAAACATTTAAATACTTCAATTTTTCTTAAATAATATAGTAGAACATGACTAGTAAAAATAAGTTCTGAGATTGTCAGATCAGAATTTTTACAAAAGCAATTTTCCTTGTTCTCTTTGGAATAGGAATTTCTTTTATTGAGAGGTTGAAGGAGAAAAAAGGCAAAAGAGTATTCTAGGGATTTAACTAAAAAGTGTATAAGAAATACATTGTTTTCATTCTTGGCAACAATTCTAATTTCATTTCTTGTAGGTACCATACATGGTAGTTGCAAGTAAGAAATCCACACCAGAGAGTTTGACTACATTATTTATTTATTTACTTACTTACTTACTTACTTACTTGCTTACTTAGGTACCAGGGATTTAACCCCAGGGGCAGTTAACCACTGGGTCACATCCCCAGCCCCTTTTTTTGTTTTTATATTTTATTTAGAGAGGATCTCACTGAGTTGCGTAGGGCCTCACTAATTTGCAGAAGCTCTCTTTGAATTTGTGACCTTCCTGCCTCAGCCTCCAGTGCACTGGAATTACAGGTCTGCATCACCGCACCTGGCTTCAACTACTTTTAAAGTTAATCATCATGTGGTATAAGAATTACTAAAATTAATACATGGGTCATATGCATTTTAGAGAGGATATGACATAAAAGATCAAACGAGTTGCTTTCACATGCATTTCTCCTGGAACCCTACATGGGAAGTTATCTGCAAATCACTAAAATTTTAGCTATTTCCAGTCTCATGTATTGCAAGATGAATGTCATGCATTTGCTACCATTATACATGTAGCTTACATTTTATTGTTTATATGTAATTATCCTTTTCAGTGCAGCTTTTTTAAATGTTCGAAAATAAAAAGGCATCTAATAATAAAGGAAGTGCTTCTGGAAAGGATGAAAATCATACTTTAGTAATTTCTCACTTCAAACATATTTATGAACTCAAATGTAATTAGTGACGAATTAAAGTAAGATTTCAGTTGATATTCTATACATATGGAAAAAAAACAGCATGGTAATTAAATTTAAAATTCCCTACCGATAAAGTAATCTCTCAAATCTTATATAGGTATAGACATTAGAGAATGCCTGCAAAGGGGAGCTGGCATCTTATCTTTCAGATTTTCTGTTTCTTAGCTCATAATGTTAGTGATTTCCTTCACTATGCTGTCCTCATTGCCATCCAGTTCCCTAATTAGGTACCTAAAGACTTGGGGCTATACAGTCTTGCACTGGAGCCTCCTGAATCATGAACTAAATAAACTTTCTTAAGTGAGTTGCCTAAGATTCCATTTTAGTAATGTGAAGCTTGCTGATGCACTATTTGGGTTTTTTTGTTTTGTTTTGTTTTGTTTTTATTTTTTAGCATTTTACTTTAAAGATATGAATGATGGATAGGTAATATTTTACAAGTAGGAGCTAAGGAGTAAAGCAGATAAATGGCAAGTTTGTGATTCCCAAATGCAGGTATTCTAAATGCCATTGTATGATAATCCAAACCTATATTGACATGCACTATATAGCTTTATTCTGAGCTTTGTTCTATACATTGAAGATATAATTGGCCTTGATAAGCTATTTCCAAGACAAAATAACTATAAAACTTATGTATTTATTTCATATTCTATGTTGTTGCCAGAGTTTTGAATATATAAATAAGAAATATTCACACCCTTTTAGTATGAGGAAAATGTTACACATATATAATGTGTAATTTTACAGATTTATTTATTAATGTTTCCTAGTTCTTACTAATTTAGACAAAAACCAGGAAATAAAAATATTTTGATAGACTAGACATTCAAACATGAAATATTAACTTTCCTGTAGTGGATTTTAGAAAAGAGATGCATAAAATTTTAAATCATGCATAAGAAATATCCTTATTTGGTAGAGTGCTTGCCTAGCATGCACAAGTCCCTGGGTTGAATACCCAGCACCCAGCGCACGTGTGCTCGCGAATACACACACACACACACACACACACACACACACAAAAGAAATATCCTTATTTTCATTCCATCCCCCAAAAGAAAACTATTACTATTTTGGAATATATACTTCCAGTGTGTATTTTAGAAATATAAAACATAGTAATCACCACCTGCTACACTATCTTCTTCCAACCTCTCTGGAAATACTTAATACGAAGAGTTTGTATTAATTTTCAAATAATTTTTAATTTTTACACATATTGGGAAGTGCTTTATTACATTAATTTATTGTAATATTTTGTTTTAAAACCAACTAAATTTGGCTAAATATCACATTATATTTAATAGTTAATGTGTTCATACACATTTAAATTGTTCCCAGGGTTTTTCCTTTACAGAGGCTCTACATTCAATCTTGATATGTGTTTCCTTGAACCACATGAGAGTTCTCTTATGTAAAAGTACAGAAGCTGGATTGTTGGAGGATGTGTATTAGACATTTTATATTTTTATTGCTTGGCAGATCACTCTCTAAATGATTCTTCCAGTCTTACTCCCTTTACAAGGGTTTCCTATTCTCTTCATCAATTCTTGATATTTTCAAACTTCTAAATTTTTATAAAACTGATAGTAAGATATATGGGACTTAGGATTTTAAAATAATTCTTCATTTCTCTTTCATTTCTCATTATTTCACAAAACAATCATACTTTACTGCATTTTTATATGCAAGTTTATTTTATGAATACTTGTTTAGAGCCAGAGAGTATAGCTGTTATCATAATATGAATTCAAATTTAAGTGGTTTCTCATTTCTTAATTTCATCCGTTAATAAATTTTTTAGAATCAATATAATTCACGTACTAAAAACTTTTACATTTTTTAAAAAGTACAATTCATTAATTTTTAGTGTATTTTCCAAGTTGTGCAAGCATTGCAATCAATACTGGAATATTTTCATCATCTTATAAAGAAACCTCATTATCTATTAACATTTGCCCTCTGTTCTGCTCTATTCTGATCACCTGGCAATCACTAATCTACTGTCTATGAATTTGCATATTCTAGATATTTTTTATAAAGAGAATTATATAATATCTATTCTTTTGTGACTGAATTCTTTCACTTAGTGTTAGGTTTCAAGGTTCATTCATTTTGTAGCCTGTATTTCATTCCTTTTTATGGCTGAATGATATATGCATCTCACTCTGTTTATCTATGAATCTATTGATGGTTATTAGATTATTTCCACTTTTTGACTATTCAGAATAATGCCACTACAAACATTCATGTAGAAGTTTTTCTGTGGATGTATATTTTCATTTCTCTTTTGTATATTCCTAGGAGTAGGATTTTTTGCATCACGTGGAAAGTTTAGTTTTAACCTTTGAAGGAAT